GAGCCCGAGCTTTCCAGGAACCTTCCGTTCCCCGTTTAGTTAGTTAACGGTGGTCAGAGGAGATTAGCATGGCTGCACAGCAGTTGTCTTTGATCGTAAATATTTTTACGTCAACAACTACAGCGTGTGCGCTAGCTTCTGCCCCGTCCTGACCGCCATGGCCCCGGTAGACTCGACGGTTGAGGAACAGACGCCCTCGACTGCTGCGAACTCTGCCCGGGAAACTGTGGACCTGCAAGCATTAATGGAGCAGTTAAACAATTTGACAAGCGTCATCAACAACCTCCGCGATGAGAACCAACGACTTTACCAGGCGCAGGAAAGGCGTTCAAAGGAGCCGGGCGACGATGCACGAAGCGAGGCGGGTGAGCCGCAACCGTCGCCAGTGGAGCTGGCACAACTAGCGGCAACAGCCCCGCGCTCGACAAGTGGCGGCGTGAGATATCAGCAACCCGCTCCTTTCGACCCAGCTAATAAAGGCGTGACGATGCGGCAGTGGATATTCGCCATGAATATCTATTTCAACGTGGTGGGCATCCGAGACAATCAGAAGCAGATCAGCCATGCGTTGACACTGTTGCAAGGGGCCGCCCTACAATGGTGGAAGGTCATCGTCGACTCAGCGGCAACTCGCACGGAAGGACAGCATGAGTGGTTCGAAGAATTCGGCGACGAAGACAAGGCAGATTTGCTGTTTGGTGCAACCCACATTCGCAGGTGGGCAACGTGGTGCGCAGAGCTTCACAAGCGGTTTGAGCATGCTCCTGACTCAGACAAAGCGCGCGAGACTCTACGCATGTGGAAGCAGCTGGGATCTGTGTCCGAATACACCGCGTCATTCTTGACATTGGTGGATCGATGTGGCTACATGCACGAGTTGGAGAAGGTCGACAGGTACATGGGCGGACTGAAGCTTGAAATACAGTACCAGATAAAACTGCAACGACTTGCGAAGCGGTTACAAGATTTTATCCAACTCGCCGAAGCCGCCGATTCGCTCACGAAGCCGAGGACGAACTTCTACGACGGAGGTCGCCCTCGAGAACAGTACCAGTGCGCCACGATAAAAGGGGTGGACGCAGTGGATATTTACGCAGTTGCTCCGCGAAATACGGGGCTATGCTACCACTGTGGCCGACCGGGTCACATCCGACGCAACTGCCCAGAAATCGTAGCCATCCAGAATTCTAAGGGGAAGAAGCCGGAGGAGCGACCGGGAAATGGGTCGCGTCAGTAAGTACCGGGCCCTTTACTGATGGGCAGGCTTCTTCGCCCGAGCCACACAGTCCCCACCGGGTCGTGATCCCGATTGCTGCAATCGACCGGACCCGGACGAATAAGGGGGACGAAACTGCTGATCACCCTGTGTTGGTGGAGGGTAAAGTCAACGGGGTGTTGCTGAAAATATTCTTGGACGGAGGCACGAGTCACAGTCTTATACAGTTGGACAGGGCTAAAAAATTGGGGATTCCCTTACTTAAGTGTCTACCCGAAATTGACGCCCGACTAGTGGATGGAACACCGCTGGCTATATGGGAACGAGTGGAGAACATCAGTTTCCATCGTGGGGAGCATGTAAAATTTCGGATGGGGCTGTTGGCGACGACACTCGACGGATGCGACGTACTGCTGGGACGGGATTGGCTGTGACAGTACAACCCGAAGATTGACTGGACGACGGGCGGCTGCAGCATCAAACTCGACGGGATTCATCGCGAACTCCCGAAATGGACGGGACCCCGCATGCGAAGTACCGAAGTCCATGCGATAACTTTCAAGCGCGCGATAAAAGCGGGAGCTGCAGCATACGCTGTCGATCTTCGCGAGGTGACGTCGCAGACCACGGCCGAAGATATTGCGAAGCTATGCGAAGCTGTCCCTCCGGATTTAGCGTACCTGATTCGGAAGTACCCTGAGATTTTCCCGGACGATCTGCCCGCCGGACTGCCGCCGAGCCGACCAGAAGACCATCGCATCGAGCTGGAACCAGGTGCCCAACCGACAGTACATCGACAATTTCGGCTCAGCCAACCGGAACTGGAAGAAATGCAGCAACAGTTGGATTATCTTCTCACTAAGGGTTTTATCCGGCCCAGCACGTCCCCATACGCCGCCCCGATACTGTTCACCCCGAAGAAGAATGGAGGATTCCGCATGTGCATCGACTACCTCGCGCTCAACAGGATCACAATCAAGTCGCGTTACCCGATCCCGCGAGCTGACGATCTACTTGACCAACTTCGCGGAGCCAAGTGCTTCTCGAAAATCGATTTGCGATGAGGTTACAATCAGATTCGCGTCGCCGCCGAAGATTGTCACAAAACCGCTATTCGAACCCGCTACGGCAGTTATGAATACCTGGTGATGCCTTTTGGCCTCACGAACGCGCCCTCGACATTCCAGATGACCATGAACGGCGTTTTCAAGGAAATCTTGGATAAATGCATTATTATCTACCTCGACGACATACTAATCTACAGCCGCAGCAGGGAGCAGTAGGATCTTGATGCAGTCTTCACGCTACTGCACCAGAATCGCCTCATCACGAAAGGGTCTAAGTGCGACTTTCTTAAGCAGGAGTTGGATTTTTTGGGACACGTCGTCTCTACCGAAGGAGTGAAAATCGACCCCAAGAAAATCAAGACCATACAGGAGTGGAAGCTGCCAACCAACCTCAAGGAGTTGCAGAGTTTTTTGGGTTTCGTCAACTACGTCCGCCGCTTTATACCCAATATGGCGGGGTTATCTGCCCTGCTAACGGACCGACTAGAGGATCACGATTGTTTTTTGTTGGGAGAGACGCAGCAAGCTGCATTTGACCAACTGAAGATCGCCCTCACGTCGTCGCCCGTCCTTCGCATCTCCGATCCTGACCGTCCATACGAAGTCATCACTGACGCCAGCGACATTGCCATCGGCGCAGTTCTCCTACACGAATTCGGCGACGGGTTACAGCCAATCGCCTACGAATCACGGAAGCTGCAGGGCGCGGAGAAAAATTAAACAGTATACGACAAGGAAATGCTGGCGATCGTCCACACGTTCAAAACCTGGCAGTGCTACCTGACAGGCGCTGACGTCACGGTGCGAACTGACCACAAATCCTTACAGTACCTGCGAGCCCAACCGAATCTCAACCCGCGATAGATCCAATGGCTCGATTTCCTCGAGTCGAATTTCCACTACACCATCACCTACAAACGGGGTGCCAACAATATTGCCGACGCCCTGACCCGACCTACTGACCATACCGCCGCCATACTAGTCGCCCAAACCAACCCATTACTTACCGGACTATTTACCCACTGCTACAAGATCGACCCGTTCTTCCGCTCTGCTATTCATCAACAGCATACCACCGCCACCGGACCTTATTTTAATAAGCGCGATACTACTCGCATCTGGGTACCCGGCTACGATTTACTGCGTACCCTGCTAATCCAGGAATCCCACGACAATCCTACCTCCGGGCATTTCGGCGTCGACAAAACTCTGAAGACATTGCACCGCAATTATTATTGGCCGGACATGGCTGACGACGTGCGCAAGTACGTGTCCTCCTGTACCGCCTGCCAAATCATGAAGTCCTCCCATTAGCGAGCAGCCGGACTCCTACAGTCGTTGGATCCGCCCGAGCGACCCTGGCAACATATTACGATGGACTACGTGACAGGACTGCCAGCCGGTCCCAGCGGAAACGACGCCATCCTCGTAGTGGTCGATCCTCACGAAAATGGTGCACTTCATCGCCTGCCAACAGACAATCACGGCCGAGCAAACTGCCCAACTGTTCATCGCCAACAGCCTTCGCCTGCACGGCCTACCCACCGCAATTATTTCACACCGAGACCCGAAATTCACATCGAATTTCTGGCGCCACCTGTGGGACCAATTCGGCACCAAACTACAGTTTTCCTCAGCTTACCACCCACAGACCGACGGGCAGACCGAACGGGTCAACCAAACAATGGAGCAGCTCATTCGAAATACCTGCACTGACCCACAGACATGGGAGAAATCCCTTCCGCTGCTGGAATTCGCGTATAATAACGCGCCCTCTGCGACAACCCATCAGTTCCCGTTTTTCCTAAATTATGGACAGGACCCGGTGGTACCCTCCACCCCGAACATCGAGACACCCGTGCCCCGGTCCCAGAAATTTGCTGAAGACATTCTCGCCGCTCGAGAAAAAGCAGCTGAGGCCATCAGGAAAGCCAACCTGGTCGCAAGCCGACAAGCCGATCGCCATCGACGTGACGTCACTTACGAAGTGGGAGATCTCGTCCTACTCGACACTTGCAATTTGCGACTGCCGATCCTGAGTAAGCTCCGCCCCAGATTCTGCGGACCATTCCAAGTGAGGAATATGGTGACACCTGTCACTGCTCACCTCCGACTCCCGGCTGATTGGCGTCACCACCCGGCTTTCCACGTCAGCCTCTTACGGCCCTTTGTCCCAAGTTCGTCGGACTTGGCACGCCACCGCAATGTACCGCAGCTGACGCCCCTGCAGGAACCGACGACCGAGCCCGTGAAAAATCTCGGCCATCGAGTCACGACGCAGCTGAACCGTCAATTTTTCTCGTCCGCTAGCGCGATCGCACGTCCGAAGACGACAGCTGGGTGCCGCTCGCTGAACTAGAATCACATCCGATTCTAACAGCGTATTATCAGCGTCGGAATGTTTCCGATGCCCGCGATCTCGTTTAGGAGGGGGGGGTAGTGTAAGGAATTTCCATTCCTTACTGAGTCGTATGCTAGCGCGTATACCCGAACTCCTCGACTCGTCACATTCGGCCTCGTTTATCGGGCCCAACCCTTTCCCGAATCGCGTCCGGCACTGTCGCCACATTGCCGAACCTACCCACGTTCCGAGGTTATCGCCCTAGTACGCCAACTCCTATATAACCTCGTGCCTTCATTGCAATAGCGACCTTGTATTCTCACGATTTAGTACATTTTCACTTCCTATTTCATAACACCCCCCATCTCCCTTCTGCCGATCTCCCCATTTCAGGCTGTGTAACAACCACTCCCACGCCCTGTCAACACACTATTCTAATGACGCGAATAATAACTCCCACGCCCACCGCGCTTCCATCTTCCACGTGACGCTGCCCTCCCGTAGAGCCTCATCTCTACTTCGCATTGGCCATGTCGGGCCGACGTGGCGGCCTATCCGGCCGGGGCGGCGGCGGCGACGACGACGATCGCGACAGGGACAGGGACGCGGAGAGCGATTCGCGATCCAGGGGGGGGAGCAGCAGCGCAAGCAGCAGCGGTGCGGGTCGGAGCGGCGGCGGCCGCGGCGGGTCCGGGGAGAAGGAACGCGACAGCGGCGGCGGCCGCGGCGGCGGCGGCGGCGGCGGGGGGGGAAAGGGCGGAGGCGCGATGGTGCTGTTTCAGAACGTGGGCGGGTCCGTGACGTTTCTACTGCAGATCGCGCTGCTGGCGTGGGGCATTCGGCAACTGCGCAGCGTCCTCGCTAAGCGGCGGGAGAACCGCCAGCGCAACCAGGGCAGCAGCGTGGGCGCCTCCCCCGCCTTTGCCTCGCTCTCCCCGCTCGCCGCGCTCATGATGGCGGGGTGGACGGGGGAAAGCGGGGGCGCGGGGAGCAGCAGCGCGGGCGGAGCCGGAGTGGGGGCTGGCGCGTCCACTTCCGGCCAGAATGCGACAGGAAACGGGGCAGGCGGAGTTGCGGGGGAGGCTGGCGCAGGGAGGATGGGCGCAGGGGGAGAGGATGGGGGGACGATTGGGGGAGTGGCGGAGGGGGGAGGTGTGGCGCCAACAGCAAGTGCAACAGGAGCAGCAGCGGGGGGAGCAGAAGCAGGAGCAGGAGCAGGATCCGTGGGGGATGGGGGGGGGGGGGGAGGCGGGGGGGGATGGGGCAGCAGAAATGCGGTGGTTGTGCCTCATGTGGTGATAGATGTGCGCGCAAGGGATGTGGCCAAGAGCAATCCCATACCTCTGCCGTCACCACGTATTCTCAACATCCCAGGTCAGACCTTACCTTGTTAGTTAAGTAGCGTTCTCTCTCCTATTCTGCACGTCCTCATTCCTTTTTCTTTTTTCTCCTCGTATCAACCACCTCCTTCAACTGCCTTCACATCTACATCCATCCACTCCCCTTGCCCCTTCGTGTCTCCTCCTTCCCCCATGCCTGCTCTGCTCCCCCTCACACTTCCCCTTGACCCCCACATTCCCCGTCTTCCCACACCCCCCCTCTTTCCCCTTCAGAGAACACGTGCTTTCAGGCGCCTGAATTTCTCCCCTTCCCTTCCCCCCTGCTCTCTCCTTCGCCATCCCCCCAACAACCCCCCTCCTCCCCCTCCCCCCCACCGCTCTTTCCCCTCTCCTTTCCCCCCAGAGCCCGACCTGCTGCAGTCCTTACGTGTCCGGGGAGCACCGCTTCCACGATACGCGCTTTGAGGCGCCTAAGATCCTCCCCTTTCCTTCCCCCTCCCGCCTCCCCCCCTCCTTTTCTGCCAGAACCCGACCTGCTGCAGTCACTGCAGCTGCCAGCAGTGCTTTCAGGCGCCAAATTCCCTCCCATCGCTTCCCCCCTCCTCTCTCCTTCCCCACCCCCCCTCCCCCCCTTCCCTCTCTCCTTTCCCCCCAGAGCCCGACCTGCTGCAGTCGCTGCAGCTGCCAGCAGCGGCGTGGGAGCACCGCTTCCACGACACGCGGCAGCCGGACCGCCGCCACGTGCTGCTGTTCGTCTCCTCGCATGGCGCCTCCGCGCAGCGCGCCGCCACAGTCGCCGCCTCCCTCGGGTACACCCGCTCCTGCGTCCTCGCGGGGGGGCTGGATGCGCTCAAGAAGTTCCTCGCCTCGTCTGCTGCTGCTTCTGCTGCTGGTGGTGGTGCTTCCGCTCCGTCTGCTTCGGTTGGGGGGATGGCAGGAGGAGGAGGAGGAGGGGGAGGAGGAGGGGGTGGAGGGGGTGGGGTAGGTGGGGGGTCGGCTCTGACCCCGACGGCGCTTGGTCATGTGGCGTCTGGTTCTGGGCTGGTCTCCGCCCAGTCCTCTGCTGCTGCCGCGCCGTTCCATTGGATCCCCTCGACTGCGGTGTCGGTGAAGAACATATCACGGGATGCTGTCGCGCTGCTGCTAGCGCGCAAGGGAGGCGTCTACCCCCACACGCTCATTCTCCAGTCCAGACCCGCTCCAGCGTCCGCCGCTCCCCTTCCCCTTTCCTCTCCCCCTTTGTCCGACCAAACTCCCGCATCCTCGCACCACCCTGCCCCTGCTGCTCCCCCTGCCGCTGCCCCTGCTGCTGCCGCTGATTCTTCTGGCGTCCAGGGTGGTGTTACGCCGGGGGGAGGGGAGGAGCTTGGGGCGAGAGGGGAGGGGGTGGAGAGACGGGAGAATGGAGTAGCTGAGGGGCTGGATGGGGGGGGAGAGGCAGGGGCGGATGGGGAAGGACGGCGGGTTGATGGGCTGGGTGGGGGTGAGGCAGGGAGAGCAGGAGGAGAGAGTGACGCAGCTGCAGGTGTAGGCAGAAATGGGGGAGAGGATGAGGGGGGAAGAGTAGAAGGTAGAGGGGGAGAAGGTAGCGGGAGGGATGGCGAGCGGGGTGAAGCGGAGGGGAATGGGAGGGGAGCAGCGGCGGGGGGAGTGGGTGTGGGACGTGTGGTGTGGGAGGAGGTGGGGGGGGGCAAGCCATGGTTCTTTCTGATTGATGTGAGACGGTTCGATGAGAGGGTGCTGTATGGTGGGATACCCGGCTCGGTGCACATACCAGGTGAGAGGGGCGCATGGTCCATCCATACACATGCCAGCTGCTTGGATGCACGTGATGCATGTGATGCACGTGATGCACGTGATGCACGTGATGCACCCTGCCCCCCTCCCGCCTCTTCCTGGACCCGCTCCACTTGGTCCACCTACTCATGCCCCAACTGGTTGTTTTCCTGTTGTCGTGCCCCTGTGGGTTCGTTCTTTCTTCTTCTTCTTGTTTTGTGCACTGGTAACGGTGGGAGCAGCGGAGGTGTGGCCAGTGGCGCTGTCGCTGGGCGAGGAGGCGTGGAGGCAGCGCTACCAGTGGCCCAAGATGCAATCGCATTCCCTGCTCATCCTGCACTGTACGCCCCTCAGGGCCCTCCCTGCTCCTCTTTCCATCTCCTGCTGCCCTGTCCTGCTGCTTCCTGTCCTGCTTTTTCATCGAAGGGGTTCAGCACTGTTTCAGCGTGTTTTGCTCTTCTGCATCTGTTCTCAGTTCCCCACTACCACCACACTCAACCCTTGCCTCCCTATCTCTCCTTCAGGCAATACAGGACCTCGAGCATATTGGGCAGCCCAAGTGGCACGGGACGCAGGCTATGACAGGTGATTCCATCTCAGGTGATTCCATCTCAGGTGATTCCATCTCAGGTGATTCCATCTCAGGTGATTCCATCTCAGGTGACTCCGTTTCAGGTGCTACTATTCTGCTGAGACACGTCTGCACAGCTGACCAAGCACTCTGTCATGCTCCCATGCTGCTCCCATGCTGCTCCCATGCTGCTCCCATGCTGCTCCCATGCTGCTCCCATGCTGCTCCCATGCTTGTCTCCCTCATTTGCTTCCCCCCACGGCAACCCGTGCGCGCCTCCCTTGGGATCCACCCATCGCTCCATCCCCATCCCCTGCGCGCTCTCCCAGGTGCTTTGTCATGCACGAGGGCACGCACGGCTGGCGACTGCACCCCTCTGTCTCTGTCTACGACGACTACCCTGAGGTACTTGCCTGCTTCCCGACCCTTTCCCAACACCATGTGTCCGTGCTACGCCATGTGTCCGTGCCATGCTATGTGTCCGTGCCATGCCATGTGTCTGTGCCATGCCATGTGTCCGTGGTGTGCCACTCCATGTGTTCAGTCATGGCGTGTCATGCCATGTGTCCGTGCTGCAGCAAACACCATACAACCCTCCCTCTCTCTCGCTCTCTCTGCCTGCCCTGCATGTGCATGCAGGGGGCCGTGCCACCGGCGCCACAGTCGTTTGCAGTGGAGGCTGTGGATGAGGGCATGGCAGAGCAGCAGCTGCGACTGCTCGGCATCGCACTCTGATTCCCAACCATGCTCCCCTGCTCTCCTGCTCGCCTGCTCGCCTGCTCGCCTGCCCGCCTGCTCACCTGCTCGCCTGCCCGCCTGCACACACTGCTGCCAGCGCCGCCACAACTGCCTCTGCTGCCTCTGCTGAAGCCCGTCCTGCACCTCCCACTGCTGCTCCAGGAGTGGAAGTCTGCCTGTCAAACCTAGCAATCGGCCGCTGCTGGCTAGTTTTTTTAGGTGTCTCAAAACCAGTAGCAGAAGTCTGCCAGTCAACCCTAGCAAACGGCCACTGCTGGCTGCTGCTCTCACTTCATTGCGCACTGTTGCATGTTCCGCGGTATAATTTAGCTTGCTAGCTCAACCAATGTGGCATTATTACAGTCCAGAAAAGTTGTAGTTTTTCCTGCTCTCTCAACCAGGGCGGACTGAGAGCGTGTTCCTACCAGCCTCTTCCCAAGCAACCTCTTCCCAGACTTTGCGTGCTACAGTGTTGCAAATTTTGTCGCGAAACGTTTCAGTGCGATTTCGCGAAGTGCGAAGTGAGATTCAGCTTCCCGAGATTCAGGAGCGTGTTTTAAAACCTCTTCTCAGATGTCAATTAAGGATCAGTAGCGAATAAATAAAAATGCAACTCAATCCGTTCGCAATCCAAAAAGTAACCTGTAATGCAAATCCACAGCATGCAAGCATACACTAGGCTCTAGTCTAGAGTAATCATCTACCCCCCCATGCCCATCCCATCCAACAGGTACCACAAACTGCCCACACCACCCCCAACCCCAACCCAACAGAGTCCAATCCATAGCGAAAAAAAGCTACCTAGCTAAAAGCACACCGAGGAAGGGGATAGGGAACTAGCACGGAGGGAGCAAAGCAAAGCCCCTGCAGCACTGCGGCACACAACACAAGCCCCCACACACACAGCCAGACAGCCACCACACAGCAAGCATGGTACTGGTGGCCCGAAAGGACCCTGGGAGAAAATAGTGTACTGTCCCCATAAGGCACGTTCTGCAAGACAGGCGGACCCTGTTCCCCCTCCATTCCCCTTCTGTTCCCCCTCCGTTCCCCTTCTGTTCCCCCTCCATTCCCCTTCTGTTCCCCCTCCGTTCCCCTTCTGTTCCCCCTCCCTCCGTCCCCCCTCCGTCCACCCTCCGTTCCCTTTCTGTTCCCCTACTGTTGCCGCCTGCGTTGCCTGTATGCCTCCCTCGGTCACTCATTCAAGCCCTCACGTCATGACCTGGTTGCTGGTTTGAGTCTGCTTTTGAGTCCCTCCCTCAGTCATCCATTCAAGTCCTCAAGTCATAACCTGGCTGCTGGTTTGCCCCGACTGCCCTGCACCTCCTGCATCCGGTGCCATCACCAGGTCCCCTGACCCTTGATGCTGCTGCTGCTGCTGCTGTGCTAGAATCTGTTGCATGGCCATCTGCTGCAGCACCTGCTGTGGCTGGGAGAATGGGCACGCAAGGATAGGGCAGGCAGATCGGGAGATGAGAGCGGAAAGGTAGAGTGTGGCAGAGCAATGCTGGAAGAAAAAGCACTCCGGTCGAAAGCACTCCGGCCGAAAGCACTCCGGTCAAAAGCACTCCGGCCAAAAGCACTCCGGTCGAAAGCATTCCGGCTGAAAGCACTCCGGTCGAAAGCACAGCAGCGGAACAGGTGAGGTAGGGGTGTAGGGGTGGTGGTGGGGTTGGAAGATAGGCTGCAGTGCACCTGCAGTGGGCGTGTGCACCTGTGGTGCCTGCATACCTGCTGGGTCTGCGTCTGCGCCTGCACCTGCGGCTGCTCCTGCGTCCACGCCAGCGAAGCCTGGCTCATGCGGTAGTACGGTTCCTTCAGGTCCAGCTTGCCCGTAGACGATTGCAGCACGCCCCCCACCGTACCGTCGGGGCTCCACGCGTGGGCTGTATGGGGGGAGGGGGGGGGGAGATTTGTTCTGCGGCGTCTCAAGACTGTAGCACGCCCCCCACTGTGCCGTCAGGGCTCCACGCATGGCCTGAACGGGGGGAAGGGGGGGGGAAGTGGGAGAGGAGGAGTAGAGGAGAGACGGAGGAAGGGATGGGATTATCGATTATCAGCGGGATGCCAATTGAGGCGTCGGCTTTGCGAGGTCCAGCTTGCAGGTAGACGACTGCAGCACGCCCCCCACCATGCCACCCAGGCCCCTCGCATGGGCTGATGTTGGGAAGGGGGGACAGGGAAGGGGAAGGGGGGACGGGGAAGGGGAAGGGGAAGGGGAAGGGGAAGGGGAAGGGGGGACAGGGAAGGGGAAGGGGGGACGGGGAAGGGGAAGGGGAAGGGGAAGGGGAAGGGGAAGGGGAAGGGGAAGGGGAAGGGAAAGGGGAAGGGGAAGGGGAAGGGGAAGGGGAAGGGGAAGGGAAAGGGGAAGGGGGGAAGGGGAAGGGGAAGGGAAGCGGGGGACAGGAGGGAGACAAGGAAGGGTAGGGGGAAAGGGAATGAAATGTATGTATGGAAGGAAGACGGCCGGAATGGATCGGAAGTTGGGAGGTAAGGCAATCCGCCGGAATGAGTCAAGGGCAAAGAGCGAGCCTATTCTGGGCAGCGATGAACACCTGCACAGGTTTCGTTCTACACAGGAGGCACGACAGGTAGGTAGGAACAGAGAGAGGCGAACCAAAGGTAGGACAGGAGGTGCTTACTGGAGTGGAAAGCGTGAAGTGGTTGGTGGGGGGCCGGGGCCGGGGCCGGGGCCGGGGCCGGGGCCGGGGCCGGGGCCGGGGCCGGGGCCGGGGCCGGGGCCGGGGCCGGGGCCGGGGCCGGGGCCGGGGCCGGGACCGGGGCCGGGACCAGGGACGGGGGCGTGGGCGGGGGCGTGGGCGGGGGCGTGGGCGGGGGTGGGGGAAGGGGAGGGGGAAGGGGAGGGGGGAAGGCATTTAGGGTTTAGAGCTTACTGGAGAGTGTGAGGTGGATGGTGTAGCTCTGAGCGCTGTGAGCGACGAGGCGCAGGCGGCCCGTGATGAGCTGGCCCGCAAAGACGTAGAGCGGCTGCGCCAGCACACAGCGCAGCTGGTACCAGTGCGTCGTGGGCGCCCCCGGTGCCGTGGACAGCCACCGCTGCACGGAGCTGAGAGATGCGAAAAAGGGGGGGAGAGAGGGGGGGAGAGAGGGGGGGGAAGAGTGGGAGATGGGCAGAGACGAGATGGGGAAACAAATGTCCCTGTGCTGTGAACGCATGTGGGGAGAGCAGCTGAGAAGTGAAGTACATGAAAGAACAAGAAGAGAACACAAAGAAAAGAGGAGTGGAGTGCAGCAGTACCTTGCTAAACGACCTGACGCACCTGCCGCTGAAGAGCACGTCGAACCAGCATGCGAGGCCATGCAGACGGGCCGCCATGTTTGACTTGAACGACAGTGGTATGTCTATCTCAAACAGGTCGCCCTCCTGCACCACACACACACGCACACATGCCACACACACGCATGCACACTCACACACGCACGCACGCACACACACACACGCACGCACGCACACACACACACGCACGCACGCACACACACACACGCCCGCACACACACCCCCGCCCCCCACACACATACCCACCCACCCACCCACACACACAGAGACGAGTGATCGGTGAGAGACAGCTGATGTGAGAAAGGCGGTGGGGAGGAGGTTCACGGAAGGGAAAAAGCGAGAGGGGGGGAGGATCACGATAGGGAGGGGGCAGCCAAGAGGCAAGCAGCTAAGTAGACAGCAGAAAGCTACTGCCAGAGAGCTGAGCGAAACAAGCAGTGTGTGCATGGCAGTTGCTGAACTTGTGCACGGTGGGTGTAAGCCGATGCTAGCTGTGCTGTCCGAGTCAAGGTGGGTGAGAGCAGGGCGGGACGAGGGAGGGCGGGGCGCACCTGGATGGCGTTGAAGTCGATGGGGTGCGACGTGCTGGGCGCGATGAGGATGCGCGGGTCAAAGGCGTCCACCACTGGCTGCATAGGCACCCGGGGGGGGGGAAGGAGGTGTGTTGGGGGGGGGGGGAGGAGGCAGAGCGGAGCAGTGGGGACGAGAGTGTGTGCTTTGAGGCGCGTCAGAACACGACTGGAGAAAGGCACGATGAGGATGAGGGGGTCAAAGGCGTCCAGCACAGGCTGCACGGCGGGGGGGGGGGAGGGGAGCAGGGGTGATGGGGGGTGGGGAGGTGGGGACGGTGGGGGGGAAAGGGAAAGCGAGGGGCGGAGCTGTTTAGAATGGATGGAGAGGGCGGTGTTAGCTGACGGGCCAAGAAGTGCTGCGAAGAGAGCGAAGGTGAAGGTGCAGGTGCAGGCGCAGGTGCAGGTGCAGGTGCTGCTGCTTGTGCTCATGCTTATGCTCGGTGATGTTAAGAGGTGCTCGTGCTGAGCCATGAGGGAACAGACAGACAAACAGACAGACATGTCGATCGCAGCACAGCAAGCAACAGCTCCACCATCACGCCACCATCAGCTGCCTTGCTCGCCCTGCCTTCCCCCTGCGCTGCACCATCTCTCTCACCTGCGTGAAGTCGACTTCTTTTGAGGCGCCTCAAACGCTGCACAATCCCTCCCCCTCACGCCAGCAGCTGCCTTGCCCGCCCTGCCTGCCCCCTGCGCTGCAGCATCTCCCTCCCTCACCTGCGCAAAGTAGCCGTTGAGCGCGTCGCCGTGCAGCGGTGTGAGGTCCACGCCGTAGTAGCTGCGCTGCTGCCAGAAGAGCGCCTGGGGAGGGGGGGGGGAAAGAGGGGGAAGTGGGGACTAGTCTTGAGCCGCCTCAAAGCTAGATTTCCATCACGTAGTATACGTCTCTCTCAGTTTCAGGAAAGTTGGCACCTCGGCGCAACAGGGCAGCATACGTCGGATTCTTCCCACTCGCGGTCGAGACGTACGGCTGCCCTTGCGCCGAGGTGCCAACTTTCCTG